CACACACACACACACACACACACATATATAATCAAGTATTAAAGCAAGCCAACCAACCAAAATTTCAAATTACTTGACAATCATTCTGAAGTATGATACAGTTCAATACTTTTTTCCCCCCAATAATATATCATATTTTAAGGATTATTGGTCTGTTTGCTTTCTTAGCTAACTTTAATCTGCCTTAGCTGGTTCATCTTTTCCAACAGGAACAAATCTCAGTGGCACAGCTATGAATTAATGTGCCTCACTGGCTTACCAAACAAAATAAATATTAAATATATCTGCAGAGTTCTCAATTAGCATACAGTTATTACTTGATTTATATACAGACAAAAATAGTGAGAATACCATACAAGCTTATGTCTGCTGATATAGAGAGATATACTTAATGTTATCTAATGACTGGCTGTTTATTGCACTGAATTACTGTGGTGGGAAGGAGGCTTACAAATTGCCGACCCTTGCAACAACCTTCCCTCACTTGCTCGAGTACTTGTTCAACAAGTTACGCAGGCAGACATATCTGTCATAGTATGCAGAGTTAAGAAGCTGTTTTCACTAATAGAGGGGTTCTTGCACAACAAGAAATGCATTACTAGAGTTTATTCTGCATTCTTACTGTAAGCAGAACAAGTATAAATTGGTCTGGAAGCAAGCACTCAAGGCAGAGGCATCTATATGATCCAATGTTGTTGTCAAAATGGAAACATTGTTCCATAAGCTTTACCCCTTCTTGAATGGCGTACAGTGTCAAGAAGCATGCATGAAATAAGTGGACTGTGTTCTGTGAGGCTACAAATTTGCTTTTGTATTCCCCTCCCCCACCCTCCAATGGATGAATCTGGTTCAAGGAACAAGTGATGGCCCTTTGGTATTTCTAGTGTTGTGATACATATTTTAGTAAACTATATAAGCTGCTTCGAGTAAGAATACTTAGAGGAGTGTTTTTTCAGCTTATATCTGCATTACCAAAAAGAACAGCTTTTTTTCCCCTGTTCTATGCACAATGAATAAACTTGTATCTATGATCCTACCAATCATTTATGTGAAAATTCTGCAACATCAGACAGTGAACTGCTTCTGAAAACATCCCACTTTGATCCATCCTAATTCATTCCTAATTCAAGTGTGAATTGAGGAAATAGCTCTATCTTCTCACTATGTAACCTAACAGTGCGTGTAGCTTCTTACCTTTTCATCATAATGGGATGAAATTTGCACCCAAATTAGACTATATATAAGATAAAATGCACCAGTTTTTATAGATACTGGCATACAGAAGGTTATGTTATACTATTTTAAACCATAGTTTATTAAAGAGTTCAAAACATTTTTTTTGCTTTTCACTAGAAAGGATAACTTTTACAGACTACTAGAGCATGAACAGGGGAATGAAGTATGCCAAATGTCATAAGGTAGTTTTCAAGTCTCATGGTCCTCTGACTATAGCAACTGCTTGTTTAGACACTTCTAATGCCTTCAGAAAGGTCATAGGAATCCTTCACAAGCACAACTTGGCTGGGATCCTCCTTGTTCATCTTCAGTCTGTCCAGTGACATTGCCAAATAGTAACAAAATATATCAAAATATATCTTGGAAAATGGGGAGACAAATAAGGCTTGCAAAGATAAAAGAAAGACACACACAACTACATAATTTACAATTATCTGATGTAATAAACCAAACAAATGAATGATTTGTAGCAGGGATAAATAAACAAGGGAGGAAGACTAAATAAAACTAATCCAACTGAGAAATGGTTGTTACATAAACTGAAAAATTTTGTGAAAGGAAGGGACAGGAAAGAAGAATTGAAAGTCAGTTAAATAAATGAGGATGCTGCCATGCATCAGGGAGATATGGGTGGAGATAAATTTAATAAACAAACAAACATGGGAAATCTCAGCACAATGAAGGATGAAATGAAAACTACACATTGATATCTAAGGCAATACTGAATTGAAAAGGGCTGGAATTGGACACTATCATTTGGTAGAGTAGCAATGAAGACCTTGGAAAAGATATTCATATGTCATGATATGACTATACCTACAAAGAATCATACAGGGAATGGTTTTCCCTGTGAAATGTAAGTTGGACATTGAGGAAGCTAGAAAGAGTAATAACATTTTTGAGTGTTGGTGCTGGATAAGACTCCTGAGACTATCATGGGTAGTTAAGAAAACAAACAAATGGATCATCAAATACATCATCCCAGAGTTCTCCCTCAAGGCATAAATGACTCTGGACATATTGCATAAAGACTTAGATCTCTGGAGAAGGTTCCAATGCTGGGAACGGTGGAAAGAAAGAGACGAGGATGACCAGCAACAAGATGGATGGACTCAGAGGCAACAGGTACACTGCTGGAAGACCTGAGGGACCAGGTTGTGAACAGATCATCCAGGAGAAAATCTATATGGTCACTAAGAGTTGACACCAACCTGATGGTACATAATCAAGCTCCCAAACTAAATATCAGAGGTGGAAATTTGTAGGGATTTTGAATCAGAAACAGGGTGAATTAGAGATCTCCTGCCCTCCGTAAGTTGGCTGATGCCTGAATTTAACATTCTTGCCCCACATCTCAAAGAACAGAAGTTTGCTAACTCAGTATGTATTCTGAATGTGTATGCTAGATTTAGCTACAGAAATTATAATGCATTTGGAAGCCATCAGATTGGGATAGGAAATCAAAAACAAATCTATCTTCTTACTGGCATTCTCACTGGTGTCATTTGGTATGATTAAAGGAATCTCCTTATTGCACATTTCTGTGAAGTAGCACACACTATACCTACCCGGTAGTACTATCCTGAAGTCTCATTATTAGTGAGCAAATAAGAATAGAGCGCAACCCGGGCGAATGCAGAAGAATTTGGCTACCAGATCGAGCTAGTGTGGGTGCCTCTGCTGAGTCTCCCCCCAACGCAAGCTACGATCCCACGCACGCTCCCTGAAACCAGTAGGGTTCACTTCCAAGGAAACACCATGAAAAGAAAGCCCCTCCACTGAATTCGTGGAACCTATTTCCATGCCAACGTGAGCGTATTTATGACGGGGCTGTGAAGGCATCCCTTCAGCCTCCCTGGCCACTGCACTCACGGGTAAAAGCTGAGCTTGCGCTGGTCCCGGGCACTCTGTCCCGCTCGGTTCCTGCAACAAGTGGCTGCACAGTACCGAGGCATGGCAAAGACTCCGCGGCGGCCAGCAACTCCCGTCCCAGTCGGTCCCCGACTGACGATGCCTCCCGACTGCACACCCGCCCGTAGAACAAATCTCATGCACTTCCGCTTCCGGGATTTTATGTCCCTCCTCCCTCCATTTTCGCCCCTTTCTCTTCCAGCCGGAAAGGGCGAGCGTTTGGCGGTGTCAATCCGTCACTTGCGCGAGGCCACAACAGCCTTCCACGTGCACCAAAGCGGGCAGGCCGCGTGACGGCCGACGGCCAATCGGGAAGCGCTTCGTGTAGGACCGTCGCTCTGCCTTGGCGCGCCGACGTTTATAAGTCGGGGAGACGGGTCGACCGAGGACTGCGCGGTGGGAGCGGCTGGTGAGTGGAAGGGATGACGGGGCAGCCGGGGACAGGCTAGGCCGCTGGGGTTCCTGCCTGGCCCTGGGATTGGGGGCACGGAAGGGGCGAGCGGTGGGTTTCAGGGCTTCTTCATCCTTCGCTCCTCGCAGCGGCCCAAACAGCGGAGAGCTGTTTACTAAATGGGATTTGAACCCGAGTTTGCCCAGCTCTAGGCTCATCTCAGTAGCCTTCACGTCACAGTACCTCTTCCCTGTGTGTCCCTTGCCTTAAAATGTTTTTCTCTCTAATTATGTGATGAGGGGGGAGGCCGCCAGTGCTTAGGGGTGAGAAAAAGGAACTCTGCGTGTGCTCAGAGGCTGCTGCCTGTATTGCTAGTCATCCAATCCAGCCGTCGGTCCACGTATGTATTAAATTGGGGCGAGGCACGAAGGTTAAGGGAAAAATGGTGTTATCAAGAGAGCTAGGCTGAAACACCATATCTGACGAGAGAAGATATCGAAACTAGCTTTCTCTGGCAGAAAATGACTTGTGTTTCAGAGTTATAGAATGTTTGTAAGAAAGGAGGAGGCTTTGTTTTTCCTGGGGGGAGGTAGTAGTGTTTTTGTCCCTCAAGTCGAGTCAAGCTTTTTCCCAGATTGTACCTGTGGGGACAGGTGGTAGTTACTTAAAGGTAAGGGAAAAGTGTCTTATTTTAAAGTGTTACTTTAAAAGTTCATAGGTAATGCATCACATCAGATAAATGTATTAGTAGTTCGTTTAAACCTCATTGAAGATGTTGAGCCAGTTGTAAAAAAAATGAGATCAGTAATTTGGAATTTAGAATGTCTTCTACTTGTATAATATGCTGCAAGTAGTTTCAGTTACATGAGGTATACATTGTCAACTGGAGTTTTTGGCTTTTCAGAACCTTTATGACCTAGGAACACTGGAGTAATAGCACTACTTGTATACTCATTTGCCTGCTTGCTTCATGTTATATATGAATATTGGAAGTTCATAGATATGTTTACACCCAACTGTCCAGTAGGTCCTTGTTTCTATTACAAATAATAGACTGCGAAAGCTTTCCTGAAACTTCAGTTGCTCCAATATTCTGTTTCTTTGTTTCATAGAATACTGTATATGTTTTAGGTTTGAACTATGAAACACATTTTTCATAGTGGTGTATGACCTTTATTTCGTTAAATGAAGGTTTTAAGATCTTGATAGTTTGTGTTTTATAGATGGGGCAATCAGAGAATATTGATTCAGTTTATGATTATCTTGTGAATTTTGCATAGTAACTCCATGTTCTGATTCTTCCTTGCTCTGTCAGTCCCTCATAGATAATTAGACCCATTATGCTTTCTCTGTTTAAACTATTTCCAGATTAGTCACATTGATCTGTTGAGGATTACTATTCTAGTCTTCCATTGGTGGTTGTTATAAGACTGTACAGTGAAGGAAAACATGCTGTGGATTTTGCCATTAGCCAGTCATCACATAGATACTGAACTGTGATGTGCAACAGCTTTGTGCCACAGGCCTGCCCCTTTGGGGCATGCATTCAGTGTTGTGATGATGTGAAAAAGAGGTGGGACTTGTGTCACAACGCTGCTTGCATCATTCAACACCCCTCCCCTCTTTGGTTCTCTTTGCAGATGCCACTTTGTATATGTGTACATACGCTATTCCAGATTGGTTAACAATCCTGAGTTTATGGAACTTTAAGACTTATTGCCTGAATGTTCTTGTTTTTGATTCCTTTTTCCCCCTTTTTGATCTGGAAACAAGGCTTTAGCTTGTATTTAGAACATTTTAAGAGCTTCATAAGTGACAAAGAATGCCACATCACCTCCGATTGCAGTTAAAAATGCATATATATGCTACCTTGAGTCCTTTGATAGAAAGATGCAGTATAATAGTGTGTCAATATTGAGTTTACTATTCCATTACGTACAGAGCAGTGTTTCTGTGAGAATTCAGTTGCAACAACCAGTAGAAAAACCAGAGCTTCGTAGCAGAAGTATAGAAGCTGCCCCATAAGTATATAAAATTAGAATGCTTGATCTTCTGAAACAAGAATACATGCTGGGCTTTACTAAGTAACTAATGTTTTAAAATCAGACCTTTAGTATTCTTGCTTTGAAAATGCTCTCTTGTTCACTGTGGCTTGCTGCCAACATGACACTGTTGTATGTGAAAACAATTTTATAGCATCTTTTAGCTCTATTGAATACCATTAAGAGCATTTATAATTGTAAAATCTCAAAATGCTTAAAGCAGAATGTATTGAAAAGTGGATAAAGCAGAATCTGTAACCAGCAAGACTAAAATATACTAAAACCTGATGGAATAAAAGTAAAGTTGGCTTACACCCCAGGAAAAAAACAGAAGAAACTTGTGGGGGATGTTACATTCAAGTAGCAAGAGTCAAATGGTACACTTTCTAGAACTGTCCAACTAAGTGGGAATAGAACAATGATAAATACTTTACCAAGCATGTAACGTAAACAGTAACTGGCTGAGAGCATTAAAAATTGCTTAGAGATATAGCAAAGCTGTGATAGGCTCCCACTATGGAATTCAGGAGTGGATGGACTCAGGCTGTATGCAGCTTCTGGATCTCCTCAAAACTGTATCATCAAAAAAAAAAAAAAGTTTGGTTTTTTTCTTATGTTTGCTTGCTTTTTAAAGGGCTACAGTGGGTATTTTAAGTTTTTGGTTAGTTCAACACACATATTTTGATTTAAACCTCTCAAAGCAAATGCAGAAAATTTCAGCCTTCTTTTGACATAATGTCACTACCGTTGTGTTGGTGTAGGCATACGAGACAAAAAAAAGTTATAATCTGCATCACAAAAACATTACCCAACTCTGTCTTGGTTGTGATGATAAACATTACTCAGAACCATTGCAGCCTCAACATTTGTCTTGAACCTGATTGGAATATTAAGACAACCTAAAACTTAGCTGTTATCACTCATTCTTAAGGACATGATGACCAAAAAAAAACCCCCTGCCTTCTCCAAAATGTACCTTTGTACATTCATACAGATTCTATATTATATTTAATAGTAAAAGCAGATGAATCTGTTTCAGTTACTCAGCCTGAAGTAATCACACTGACATTCAGAGAAGTCACAGTCTTAATTCATATTTTATATGAATAAGATGTTCAGTAGTTCAGTCTACTATTAGGTTGGCATCTTCACCATTAAATGGTGACACATTTTAAACAGTTACACAGTGTGAACAGGTTTTCAGTAGACCATGGTATCCTTCTAACCAGAGTCCTTTCCTAGTTTGTGCACTGAGTACTTTGTCTCTAGAGGACCCTGGTGGAAAGGAGGAGGGGACATTGATAAAGAAGCAACTTGTTTTTTTCAGTCTTGCCAACTGAGGTCTCCTTACTGGCAACAAGATAGGAAAAAACAGACATGTGTAGGCATGTGTAGTAATTTGCACGTATAATAAATAAGCAAGGTATTAATGGAGATATGTGCCAGTGTGCAGATTAAAGTTGTAATTAACAGTTTCTACCTCAAAACATTATCTGCATAAGTGTTGACAACTCTAAAGAACAACAAAAAAAAGCAGTTAAGAGCAGCATACAGTTTTTGTGTCAGTGATTTATATCATTGCTCTGCTCTATTCCATAAACGCAGATCAGTTTACAGCAATTCAGTTCTTTCCATAAGGGAATCAAAATAGCTGCTCTATTTGGATAAGAAAGCATACCAAAAACTAACAACACTGTGAGAAAAAAAGGTTATTTTTCTTAAAATTAAGCTCCACATAGCAATATTTGACAACTACTAGTTTATAGACTAGAAATAAATGACTAAAAAGCAAAATTCTAGGATCCCTTCTACACTTGTTTTTACAAGTATAATTAGTTCTGTTAGTAGTGAATATAATGAAAAAGGGTGCTGCTGGAGTAGCATATAGAATAGGAAGAGATAGAGGTATAGGTATTTGTAATGGCAGTTATCTCATTTTGTATTGGAGTGGCTTTTTATAACAAAGCAATAGCTTGACAATAACTTTTGCCAGCTTTCTGTCTCTTGCTTTGTGTGTATAATCAAAGTAATATTGCAAATTAATGTGCTGAAGTCATGTGATATTTCCTTGCCTCTGCTTCTTACTGTTGTGAAAATACTTTTATAAAGACAGTTACTTTCAGTAGGAAGGGAAAAATTATAGGAAATGTGAAATCTTTAGTGATTGAGAAATCTTTATAGAAATTAAGAAGAGAGCTAAAATACATTGATTCCAATTTGTTTAGACTATAAATAAAACAGGTCATAGAAATCTAGCTATAATCGTTATCAAAGTGAAACTTAATTTCATTTATTTTAATGGGAATGTTTGGGAAATAATATATTTTTAATTATTAAACTACAGGTTTTTAAATCATTTTGAAAAGGGGTGCTTTATGAATTTGAGCTTTTGAGAACTAGAAGTAAGTACGGTGATGAAAAAGCCTCTCCATATTTGTAAAAACAAATATTGTTCACTGGAGGAATTCAAATCATTTGAACTCTGTCATGTCTGAGATGTTAGCAGAAAAGTAAAAAGTAAGGCTTAGGAACGATTTCCTTCCAACACATTCGAGAAATAGCTGGATAACGAGTTAACTTAATAGCAGAAGAATCATTCTGATTTTTTTTTTCCTTAGGAGTCCTACAATGGCTACTACACAATCTATCTTTATATTTGCACTCTGCGTTTTAATGATAACAGAATTAATACTGGCTGCAGAGAGTTACTATGACATTCTAGGAGTTCCAAAAAATGCATCTGATCGCCAAATTAAAAAAGCATTTCATAAACTAGCAATGAAGTATCATCCAGACAAAAATAAGAGTCCTGGAGCAGAAGCAAAATTCCGGGAAATTGCAGAAGGTAAGTAGAATTCTATTAAATATTAATTAGCTGTATCATTATCTTCCTCTAGTGAGGAGAAGGATAGCATTAGATGTATTTATTTTATTTAAAAAGTTGCCTGTTTTAGATAGCAGTGCTACTTATACAGGGTCTGTGTCCTTGTACCTGTTCAAGGGTAGTAGTAATAGATGAACATAAACCTCAATTTCCTTTTTTAGGCATACAGATACTTCTAATTTACACCACTGCTATCATTGTAATTATTTTTGAATATACTTTGCATATATGTTTTTACTGTTTATTTTAAATGTGAATATTCTGCTCTTTGGAACTATGTTTCCACAAAATGGTTATAGTCATAGATAAAATGCAATAAAAATATGTGTACAAAATGAGAATGGTAGTAGGGAGAGTTAAACATAAAAATTCAGAGAAGGTTGAACATTTTGAAAACTCAAGAGTAGTACTAGCACTATTTTGTTTAGTACACGCTTAGATACAAATGCAGTATAAGGCCTATTTTTCCCCATAGCAACAATCCTGTGAAGTAGGTTGGGTTGGGAGAATATGACTGTGTAGCTGAAGTTGTACTCGAACCTGGCTCTCCCCACTCCTAATCCAGGACCTTAACCACTAAGGTTACAAGAAGAGTTTAGCCACTCCAGTTCCATTTCATTAGAAAAATATAGGGTACTTTTTGTTCTGTACACAAGCTTTTCCAAAGTAAGTTTCCTAGTACACCTTCTAATAAATATTACGTAATAGAATGGTCAGCCTTTAGGTTTACTTTTACCTTTTTTGCAACCCTTAGATGAAACTTTTTTCTGCAACATGATTTTTCACAGCTTTGAATAAAATGTGATATGTCTTTGTGAGGCTCAGTGCATCTGATTTAATGATGATATTACTGCCACGTCCCCTATAACTTTCCAAGGCTGAGGGAAAAAAAGTCCAAATTGCTGCTTTTACCCACTAAAAGTCACCTGTCTCAATTGTAAAGCTTTTAAGGAATGTCCAGTGGATATTTTCCACCAATGTAATCTTACAAAATTCAGTTTGGAAGCAAGTTATAGTGAATGTAGTGGTTCTAATTCACTGTAAATGTGTGTAAGTTTATATCTGATTAATTTCTGAAGTTGCACATTTTAAATCTAAAAAAATAGGAACTGATAGCAATTGATAGTGGTTAGTCTCTGATTCTGAAAGTAGTATGGAAAAAGTATTTTCTGCAAACTTGAGAGCCCCTGCTAGCCAATAGACCGTACTGAAAAGGTGGACCAATGATCTGATTCTGGCTTTTTATTGATAATTCTAATATCAGTGAGCTTATAATAACTATCCAGTCCACCCTTTCTCCATCTTTTTACCCTGGAGGAACCTTGAAATAATGCCTCAGGTCTCAGAAAACCCCTGCATAAAGGTTATTACATCTACAGCCCACAAAAAGCTGGCAGCTGGGTTGCAGCACATAAAAATTCCCACCACTGCGAGGACTAGCATTCCTCAGTGCAGGAAGTTAAATATTTTTTTCGATCATGATCTCTTGCATAATCCCAGTTGAGAACAGTTGATCTAGTCTTTCAGATTCTTAGGTCTTGCTCTCTTACCTGAGAATTTTTAAAGTTGAGTTGACCAAGGAACCAACACGTTATATATGCAAAGACTTGTCATGTATATCTTTACAGAAAATTCTAAAACAGCTTCCTGCTTTATTTTTACAGCATATGAAGTCTTGTCTGATGAAAATAAACGTAGAGAATATGATCAATTTGGTCACGCAGAAGGACGACGGACCAATGGAAACCCCTTTCAGCATTCATTTCACTTTGACTTTGATCGCTTCCTTAAAGACTTTAACATCTTTGGTGAAAATCATAATGCAAAGAAACCTTTTGAAAATCATTTTCAAAGTCATCAGGAGGCTGAAAGCAGACAAAGACATGCTTTTCCAGAATTTACTTTTGGAGGGGGACTGTTTGATGACATGTTTGAGGATATGGAAAAGATGTTTTCATTTGATGGGTTTGATAGCACACACCGGCAAACAATGCAGACTGAAAACAAATTCCATGGATCTAGTAAGCATTGCAGAACTGTGACACAGCGGCGAGGAAACATGGTGACTACATTCACAGATTGTTCTGGACAATAATTACTTTGCAGTTCCTTTTGCTCTATGCTGCCCTTAATTACCTTTTGGCTCTATTCTTTGCTGCTGAAGCACAGAGGTTCTGCAAACCATGAATTTGTAGTTTAATCACTTTAAGTGCTGAAAGTAAGTTGTAGCTAAACTGAAATATTACAAGAAGTGCAACAAAACAAGATGGAATGACTAACTTATTCCTTTGGCTGCATATGTGCATGTGGAGAAAATCTCCATATGACAGTGTTAGATTCTATTTTTAATAACAGAAGCAAGGTAACCGAATTACCTCACTGTTCAGTTTATATTTTACACTCGGCAAACTGTTGATTTAATGGTATACTAGATGATATTGTCAGGCTCCTGTTTCTAGAAGTGTTAACTGGTGAGTGCTTGTGTGGTTCTCTGTTTTTAATTAACACAGAATTTACTATTGTAATTCTGAGTTATTCAAGTTGACAGTAATGACTTACAAATACAGTAATATATTTAAATATGGTGTATTTTGAATTGCATGATTTGATTTAGCAAAACTGACATTTCAGGTGCAAAAGAGCTTTGATTGTATAGGTTTGTACACAAACATGTATTTAAAATCTATATATAAATACTGCTGAAACATCTGTAACCTTTAGAAAACTAATTGTCTGAAAATACAGAAATTGGGGTGAGTGGGAGGTTGAATTTTTGGTAGTAAGTAACTGTGCCCTGGGAGTAAGGTAAGTTACTGTTTTATTTATTCAGCTGCCTAAAACACTATAATATAGGGGCATGAAACTATCCTATGCTGAATTAGAGGCAGTACTACAGATTTGTACAAAATGTTTCAAATTCAAAATAGCCTGTGACTTCCCAAAAGGTGTTCTGGTACTGTTGCAATCATACAGTACTGGAAATATTCCAAGCTTGACACAGTACCATTTCAAACTGAGACCCAAATGATGGTTTTAAGTTTGGAACACTTTTGGAGTAATCACAACACCATCAGAAATGCTTCCTATAATGTTGAAACAGCTCATTTCAAATTTGAAGTACCTGTTTTAAACTTGAAATGAGATGTTTCAAGTTTGAAAAACTTCGAATTCATAATGTTTTATATACTGTTGCAATATTGCTACCCAGCTAAAGTGATTATATTGAGCAAGTGACAGTTGATTTCTTTTTTTAAAAAAAAAAAATCATACCACTTGGTAATCTGTTGCTACTCCAAATTTCAAGCCTCCTGCATGACTGCATATTGTAGAAGTGTGAAATCTAAAGAAAAATAAGTTACTTGGTCATAAGCTAAATTTTTAGAATTGCTGAGAAAGTGGTCCTCCTACTTACATGTTATCATTCATTGATTCTTTTCAGTATGAAAGAGAACTCTACTGTATTAATGTAGATGCTAGGAAAAGCCTTCATGGATTAGTACTTCATTCTTAGTTGGTAGTTGGGTTTCCTGCAATATGCTGTAAAAATCTAACAAGACTTCAAAAAATCACGTTTGTTTCAGCTGTACTATATATGTAAAAATATTTTGTTCCTTGAGAATAATGGATAACTCCAGTTTCCTTCTCCACACTGGTAAATGATGAGGATGCTGTTATAAGTAGTAAAGCACCTTTGATGTAAAAGGTTATTTTTCATTGTTTTAAGTCAGTTTTTTCATAATATTATTGGGGAAAAAAGAGACACTGAATATTAATTTTCAGGTTTCCTTATTCGGTACAGTTTCAACATTCTGTTGCAACTGCTTAATTCTAGTTTTAAAATCTCAGTAAGATTCTACAGCTAATTATAGAATTATAGATATTCTATTTGTGATAGGAAATTAGAATGCTTGACATCTAAGGTCCAGCCAATGACAAAGCAAGCACTTTAATTGCAGTTAATACATTTTTTAATGAAGTTTTGTACTGCCATGTTGTTGGCTTTGGAACTAATTGTAGTGATCTTTCTTTTCAAAACATTCAATTACAGAAGGAGAATTGGCATTGTAATTGTGTTCCAAGTATTCGGTACAACAGAAACTACTAGATCTGTAGAAAAGTTCAGTTTGAATAAATGGATTTTAGCATGTGTTCAATATTAAGGACATTTAATTTTCATTTATTTATTTATTTATTTAATGCCTTGCTCTATACCAAGAGGCTTAATGGAAGTAAACTGCTGTTTAGAAGATGCTTTGGAAAGGAAGGAGGTGGTGAGAATTAAAGGAGATCTGATAATTATGTGTCAAGTGGGTGATGTTCATAGATGAATCTGCTCATCCTGCATTGATAAACAATATAACCTGCAGAAATCCCTTGAGTGTAGAAGCCCAGACTTCCTTAAGTCTGGCTCACATAAGTGTTTCAAGACTGTGTTCTTATCTGGCAGTCATGATTGGATCTCTGAACATATCAGTAATTCCATTTCAGAGAATATGGCTAGAGAAATAGCTGCTTAAATATGTTTGTTAGGCTCTTTCTCCTGTTTCTGTTCATTCAGAACAGAAATCCCACCATTTTGTAGATTTTTCCCCCATTACTATAATCTGTTGGAATTCTGCCATCACTGCTGGTATAACAAAATAAATTTAAGCAAAAAAGAGAAAGTGTTATTGATGACCCTACTAATTAACCTCATCTAAATTTTTTACCAATACTGTTTATTTTCTATTTTCAAGCCATAGGTTTGCTAATTAAAGCTTTATGTTCACCAGTACTAGAAACCCTCCCTTTTATTTAGCTTACAATAGTATCATTGTTTGCTGCTTGTATTTGACATGTACTCACTGAGTGCTGCTTTGGAAATTCAAGATTATTGAAATGCCAATAACTTCTTGGGAGAGATGCAAGTTGTCAGGAAGTATAAAGAGTGAGAAACTTGAGGATAAGCACTTTCTTTAATAACAGCATTAGGTTGTCATTCAGACCACAGTGGGAATGCAGAACTCTACTTTTGAATTACCAGAATGTCAGTAGCTTGCTTACCACATGCTGCTTTGACTGAAGGAGAGGGGGAAAAAACATTGGCCATCATTGGAAATCTTTTAGTTAAATAGGAAGAGTTTTTATAGTTACGGGCATCAGATAGTTATTTGTGCGATGTTTGCTACTAACTTTAGTTCTGGTCTGATCTTTTTCAGTGACATCCTCAATGTATTTTGTAAAGATGAAAATATCAACATTGCTGCTTACCGTATCTAGTAAACTGCAATAGATGTTTAGATTTTATATACAGAGTTCCACTGGAGAAGAGTTTGACACCTTGCTGTACTTCTTAAATATGTGCTTAAGAAGTGCTATCAGATGTTCTGAGGCAAATGGGGAAAATTCCTTCTGTTGTAATTTACTTTTTAATAGTTTATTGGTAATGACAATTTTATGTACTGTTTTTCTTGGAATGGAGGAGAAATGGTGGCTGTTTCTTAAAGCTACTGGAACACTACAGGATAAAGAACAGTTAGTATACAGTATTACAAAAGTGATATGAGCCCAACATGTCAGTCAGTGTTGGAAGGATTCTTCCACTTTCACTGAAAAGAAAATGATTTGATTAACATGCCTGCTCCCTAATATGCAGCCTTGTACAGTAATCCTAAGCACAGAATCGAAAAGACAGAAGAGGAAGATTGCAATTATGCTTGAAATGTGATGCTTGGGAAATATTGAGTTGAACTAGATCCATGGACCAAATGAAACTCCACTGATGTGAAAATGGGGATTCTGAGATAAATTTGCTAGATTTTAAGTGGAAAAATATAAAAAAGGCTGAGGAAAAATTGCTTATAATTACCTTTTCCAGATAATGTGGAACATAAGTGCTATTTCAGATTGCCCAGTTACCTCTGGAAAGAATTGTTCAGACCCCTAAAAGCAACATTTATTTGAGGCCAAATGCCTGAAGCCTAGTTTTGAGAAGCACAAGAATTCTATTGTCTAAAAAGAGCTACACTGTTATTTTGAGACCCCAATGAAATTAAAACCACTGTCAGAAACCCCAATCTATCAAAATATTATTGAAAAGTCAGTTGCAGTCTCACCACTAAAACCATTGGTCTCCAAGCCAAACTCCACTGGAGGGCATGCTTTTTGTCAAACACTAACTTGGTTTGACCAACTGCATTGTTTAGCACAGAGACAGGCTTTGGGCTTCTTCAGGAAAAGAAGAATTCATGAGGCAAAGGGATCTTCTTATGGAGCCAGACAACAAAGTAAGCCAAAGAAAGAAACTAAATGCTGGGCTGGAGATGGTACCAGGTTAGGTGGGCAGTTAACAATGGAACTTAGGTTGGTTCACTGAGCTGTGGCTTTGAGCCAAGTAGGCAACAGTAGAATGAGTGGCTGGAGTCAAGGGTAAAGTTGAGAAGTTTCAGATTCCAAAAGACTTAGCAACATATTAGCCATGTCCTGACCAGTGGGAAAAAATGGTGGCACTTGATCTCCTTAGTGACCCTTATTTAAGCAACCTATGACTCAAGTAGCATTGAAGTTCTTCCTGCCAGCTTGCCAGGCTCTCCTACGGTCATCTAGAACAATACAAAAATGAGATGGAACCTTTGGGCTAAGGTTTGTGGGCAATACCAAGCAAGCCTCAACTGTACAGTGAATCAGCACAGTTGAGCTTTTATGCAGTAACTCATTTTCAAGAACTGCTCAGCCCTTTGCATCTTAAACATTTGTTTCAAATTCAAATGGGTTTTTAAAAAGTTTCATAAAAAAGAATAAACTTTAATTATGAGTAAATCCCAATAAGCTATAGCGAAGCAACAACAACCCCAAAGCCTCTGATTCCATTCAAATTTCATGCACCTATCATGGTTGTTATGGCTGAAATATCTTATTTCCAGGATACTTCCTTCTGACCTTGCAAGTATAATGGGGTTATACTGTGATGGAATGGTTTGATGAAGGCCGTGCTCAGGGAGATAAGCATTCCCTTAGCCCCCAGCAGGAGCGTGGGAAGGTTAAGAAGATGAGACTGGCACAACAGAACTGTATCTGTACTGTCTCGTGGAGTTCTTTGGGCTGAACCTGACAGTTCCCTACTTTACATCAGACCCAAAAGAACTATTCCTGCCCCTAAACAAACACACACACCCGCCCCACCACAGCAGTCCTTTCCTTGCTGAAAAGAAAGAAGTATTGCTCACAATTACCAATGGCAGAATGAAATTAACTAGAGGCAGCGGAAATCCAACTGGCATAATTGCTTAAGGCAGATCTAGTAAGGAAATTGCAACAAAGTAACTGGGCAATACTGCCTAATCTGATCAAAGTTCCTCCTTCTCTAACAAGGAACTATAGTATGGCTATTTCCAGTGCACCTGCCACCTCTAAACAGTGTTTCTGAACTATAAAACAGATCTCCTTACACAATCAAACTTGCCCAGTTTTCCCTATATAATCCCAAAATCCTGACAGCAAATCAGAGCCTTAGAATTTCCCACCCCACAATACAAAATCCTTATAAAATATCTTCTATTGTTCTCTGTTTAACTTCCTTTGTAAGCTGGAACCCAAGAATCATTTTAGAATATTCATTCATTCATTCATTCATTCATTCATTCATTCAATTTGGCCAACAGCTCGTCTCGCATTTGTGACTCTGGGCGGCTCATATAATTAAACAACCAGCAACAGAACCAATCAACCAAATGCAACAGTCAATTAAAAAAATAGCCCTTTTAGAACCAAAATAAAAACCCAAGGAAAACCAAAATTTTAAACCAGGAAACCTAATAAGCAAGCAAGTGCAAGTCATGCGTCAATCAATGCAGCCTTCTAGCAGGCTCTGAACTATAGCCAGATCTCCAGGCACGTTGAGAGAGCCCTGTCTTTAGAGCCTTTCAGAAGGCCAGCAGGGTCAGGACCAGTCTAAGCTGGTGGGGGTGGGGGGGGGAGGTTGATGTTCCAAAGGGCAGCTGCTGTGGCAGAAAAGGTTCTCCTGCTGGGTCCCATCAGATGGCGCATTGTTTAAATAAAGTATGATCTTCCTCAGATTTGCGCTCCATCTTTCACATCCATGACATGGTATAGTCTCTTCCTAAGCAGTGAAAGTCAGCACGCTCTATGGCCTTGAAGGCCCTAAATAAATTTTTCAGATCTGCCTTGTGGGATGACGTGGAATTCCAACATTAGGAAAGGGGAAAACATTCCTCACTTTTTCAATATATACTGCATGCTATGTTTCGCCTGCATTTACTAAAGCAAAGGAAATTCTGGCCACAGGGCTGTCTTGCAAACTCTTCGGTTACTGGAAGGCTTTACACAGTATATTCATTGTTCAGCGACATTATTTCAACTCTTATCATACCTCTTATATGTGTCGATATCATCTTAAATTGGTGATAGTCACCATGAATTACATTTTCTCATGGCCAATTCTCAGAGATTTTTGGTTTCCTCCTTTGTGCGCTGCCAGAATCAGTTTGGGGTGGTATAAAATATTGAGAAATACATAGGAAGAATCCAGTTAACTTAATCCTATTTGAAATACATGAATATTTAATCAGGACCAGCTTCATTTATAATGAAATCAATAGGAATTAAGATAGTTATGCCTAATTTTTCAGATCAATTTCAGTGATTTATAAGTGCAAGTAACTTTGTTCAAATCTACGGGACTGTATCTGAGCATACTGGAAAGT